ATTAATGCAAAACCTGCGCCCAATACTTCCACTCAACCACCCAACCCCCCCCCCCCCCAACAAAACAAAAGAAAAAAGAATTTGATAACTAAATCGAGCTGTAAACATAACTTTAATCCATCAGAAGCAAAAACCCAGATGAATAAAGCAGCTTCAAGATTAAACATTTGCACAAGAATTCAAGAACTTGAAAAGCATTACCTCTTGGGAAGAATCAAGATTGATGTCCAGACTGCCAAGAACGGATGAAAGAGGCCAAAGGGGGTCAACTGAGCAGAGGAGTATGCTTAGAAGTTAGAATGGAGAGATTCCTGATGGGTTGTTGACATTGTATTTGACGATTCTAAATGTATATTTGGGTTTATGGTAATGTCATATTTGGCGTGCACACCATGTGAGCAAAACTGGAAAACTACAAACACAGACTATTTCGCTTTGCCTTTAAGACAAGGTCAGAAATTTTCAACCGCCTCAGACTCTCTCGAGATATATTTGCTAGAACAGTAGAAAAAAGAGTTTTATATTATCTGGTCCGCAATAGCTCCATAATATGATGATGATATCTTTCCAGCCTCGCGGTTAAATTTTATTTATTATGAGTTTACACCCTATACTCGCACTTTTTACTTGGCCTCATTGATGTTTTTGAAATAATTGTGGAGAATTAAATGTTTTTTAAAAGGCAGCGATGAGTTGCTTTTAATTGACATTAGATTTTTCATTTTAGTCTTTGAACACCTAAGTAATAAATAGTCAAATAGGTTGTTTGACTATATGTTACTAGACTTTTTAGGATAGACCATTATTTGGTATTTGGATTAGCAAATAGCAAAGAGGGCAAATCGTATGTCCTCTTTGACTATGTGTTACTTAATCCAAATAGAAAAGAGGACAAACCATTCTTTGGATTAAAAGTGAAATACTTTATTACCTAATGGTCAAAGTTGCCACACCTCTAGACCACCTTTATATGTAACATTAGCCAACAATTAAGAAGGATTTCAAACGCACCTTTGGATTATTCAATGATTGTGTTCAAGTAAGGTTACAAACAATCATATTATTGTGTCCTCTATATTGGTGTTCAATGATTGTATTCAAACGCAAAACTTAGTTGCCATTTCAAAATGTTGTCCTTTATATGAATGCTTTTCCCAAAAGAAAGATTTTTTTTTTTTTTTTTTAAATGCAGTGTCGAGTACTAACTACTTGTATTTGCAATAATTACTAGCTAAATAACAAGAACCAAAATGTCCTTTGAAATGGCAAACACAAAAAAATTTCTTATTAATTTTCTACGGGCACTTTAAGCATTTAGGTGATGTTTTCTTTGCAAAATGTATAATGAGATCAGCAAATATCTGTTTTTAAGGGGTGGAAGGAAAAATACCCTAATTTCTCGTTGGGTCAATTATAGTTCTCTCTTCAGTAGCATTAATTTACTCAATAATTTTCAATGTTAACACAATTCAAATCCATTGATTGAATATTGGACATTAGAGAACGGACTTCAATCAGCGACGCTAGTTTCGCCAATTGATTGATATGACTGATTTTTTAAGTAGTTTAACATGATAGTTTTCAGGGGCAGGCAACCAGAAATCCATGACCTTGGTCACATATTTAATTAAATGCCCCACTAAAAAATAATTAAATATTTTGAAAAGTTAGTTTTAAAAACACTTACAAGATGTGATGTATGTATGGTATAAAAGGTAATTACAAAATGTGTAAAAGGAATATTCACAAATTTTGATGGACATCAAGTACATTGGCTTGATGCACAGTTATTGATTGTTATACATATTACCTTTGGAAAAAAGTAAAGAAGGAAAAAAAGTATCTTAAGGGAAAAAAAGAAAAGGAAAAGAAGGAATCAGGAAAAGGTGAGTATAAAACGAAAAGAAAATTTTGCTTGATGGAACGAGGGTAATTTTGGAGGAAAATTTTTATTTTTATGACAAAAAATATTATTTATTCATCGCTTGTGCTTCATTTAAATTATAAGGATGTTTGTTGATTGCCGCAAAAATCACATAAGGGATTTTTTAGAAATTTTAAATTAGATTCCTTGTTTCATGATAATGGACATATTAAACTTTTCAGTGTTAATTAATTTACTTGAATTAAGTATACATCAACTTTTGCTTATTTTAAGATCTGTCTAGTTTTTTAAAGTAAATCTCAAAACTTACTTTGGGCTTAATTGAGAGGTAAATTTGAATTTTGAAAAAAAAGTAAGCTATAGTTAAGAGTAAAAAGGTAGATGTAAATATTAACCATATTTAAATTATCATGGAGTCACAACTTAGTTGAATTTACAAAAAAAAAAAAAAAAAAGAAGATTAAATGAATGAAAAGTATATTCGCCGAAAAGGTATTAGTATAGTGGTTAAAGTTGAAATTTAAAGAATTAGATGTTCTCAATTCAATTTTTTCTTTCCATGTCTCGCTTCATAAATTCACTCCTCTCTTGCTTCCAGCACTGTAGAAAGGAAAATTAGGTGTAAAGCTCCCGATCACAATTACAAAAGAATTTTGCATTTGATTTTCGAATTTGTTATCACCAAAATTTCAAAACAAAGGTACATCATTCCTATAGAATATTTTGTGTGAATCACAAAATAATTAAGACATACTGAGATTGATTGAGTTTATTATATCGGAAAATCATTCAAAGTGTTCTTCATATTTCGTTAAATGATTTTCCAATTCTCACTTTTTAAATAGTAACTTTGCTTTTTGTTTGGAAAGTCATTTTTCACCAAAAAATTCCTATGAACACATTTTCGAATCATATTTTTACCTTACATATATCAAATTGCTACAGTATATTTTTGACAAAAACTCCAGCAAATTGCAATCCAAATAGGACCCTAAGTTGGTAGCATTCAATTTCAACCTAAGTTTTTACTATTTTTTGCCCTGAATCCATCACGTGACCCATGTATGATCATTTTTTTTTTGGGCCAAAAAGTTAAATCCCATTTGTAGTTAAATAAATGACTCAATTCATATTTATTTTTACCCCTAAAAAGTAGAAACTAACTCGAATCATATTTATTCTTTTCCCAAAATAGTAAGATCCAACCCAATCTATATTTATTTTTGCCACTAAAAAGGTGAGATTTGAATTTTTTGTACATAAAAAATTGACTACATACGGTCACCTAATGATTTCAAACTAAAACGTGGTCGAAATCTTATGTTGAAAATAAATTTTACTAACTTGAATTTGTAAATGATGTAAAATTAATAATTAAAAAGACGAAAAGAATTCATTTAACAAAATGTAAGGGGTGTTTTGAATAATTTTTTCTTATTATATTTAGGAAGATACGTATCACATTTATTCTTTATGGATAAGAGGAAGATAGATATTTGCAAATAATCTTTTTTCCTTTTTTGGTTGGACGAAGATAAAAATTTGCGTAATTCCCAAACAGCATTGGAAGTTGTAAATTTTCTTTTGGGGGGCAGGAAGAGGTTAAAAATTTGGACAAACTACAAGTTGGAACAGTGGATATAATTGTGTTAGGTAACCGGTTGGTTGGAGAGAGAAACTAAGGAATTTTTTTAGGTGTTTCCATCCCGTCAAACATCATCATAAATGGAATTTTAGTTGCTAATAGAAGAATTTTTCTTGGACATAAATGGACTTCTCTCCTGGGCAGCTTCCGATATTTCTGTATTCAGGGCCTATCATATATGAACATGTAAGGCCAGCTGACGGGTATGATCATTGTTTATTATCACGGCATCTAACTATTAATTATTTACCGGGTGAGAAGTTTTAGTGACTCTTAAACTTTTATTCGTATAAAGTTTAGTTTTCATACAATTATTAGAACACTTTTCACTCTTGATCTATCGAAAGTACAAATTATTAGTTTTTCTATTAATTTTAGTCGTTGTGTGTGATGGAAACACCATCACGTGCGATATCCGAAAAAAAAAAAATCAAGGGTAATCTAGCTCGTAAAAAAATACTTACCGACTAAAAGATAATGAAAACATTTTACTACCCAATCTTTATGGACTATCCCTCTCATGCGAGACTCCTAATCTTTGGAAGAGATAACAAATCCTAGAGTTTGTCTTTGAAGAGGGTTGCAAAGCATGACAAAAGGAGGACTTCTGGATTATAATCTCTAGGAAGGTTTGCATGAATTCTTTCTGGTCTTCTAATTTCTTTTTTTTTTTTTTCCTTTTTTAGTTTTTTTAATCTTTTATTTTTTTCATGGTTTGATTGTAGTTTAGAGAGTCATCTTTTCAAGTATGTTGAAGATGTGCATTTGGCAAAAGTAGGGAAGGTGAAGAACAAAGTTTTCTCATTCCTTCATCTGTGGGAATTGTTTTAGCCCTACAAGTGTTGCAACATACCAGATGCCGACCAAACGGAAAGAACAATGAGATGCACAAAACTCGTGGACAAATAAGAAGACAAGGGAAATACGTCCAAAATCGAGGCGCAGGAATTTATTTACATTTAACTGGCGCATTAATAACTCGAAAACAAGACAAATTGTGCTGCGGTCAAAGAAGGGAAATTATTCTCAGGTTTTGGTAAACAAAGAAGCGACACGTGCTAATCGTTTTCAGAAGATTTTTTTTTTTATCAGCCAGACATTAACTAGAATGGAATATATAAACAAAGATAAAAAAGATCCCGATTGCCCATCTGCTGACTCTCCATCTCATCCTAATCCACAAAACCGAGGGCGGGGAGTGGACACCTGCTTCCGGCGCATCCGATTTATTTGCACTTGACGGGTAATATTGCACTACCTGATTCGCTTATTTTTACGTTTCAGAGTATTATCCAAGAATGAAATCCTATTCACGTTGCAAGGCGTAGAGTTGCTGCAAGATGAAGTAGCAATAAGTAATGCTGCTATTACCCTACTAAGAAACTCAGATGTGATTCCTCCATTGTCAACAGCGGCGAAGAGGGGGAACACTAAGGGCAAAAGCGCTAATAATCGGATGCAATCAAACAAGGCACGGAAGTCAGGGAAGTTGAATAAAAAAGAAATGGTGTATCATTCAGCAATTCGTTGTCAGAAAGTAAGACAAAAAAGACAATATTACAATTTGAGAGTACGAACCTAACCAAGAAATGTATTTTCTACCCACTAAGTAATGGGCAATGTTTAGAAGAGAGTCCTAATTTCGACTTGCTGCAAATATATACAGAATTAGTCCGTTCCAGACGCGCATTAGCTATAATATGCTGGTAATCCTGTACCAATATCCTGTACAGCATCTTCAATATCTACTAATGAGGTTCTGGCAGAGTCTTACATTCATGCGATGAAGCATATTAACGCTTCAGTCAGAAACCAAATGTTTCATGGTATATGTAGCCTTCTCATCTGGTTTCACTCCAGAAACCAGGACTGAAACTCTTATTGAGCTTTCAGTCTAGTGCAAGTTGTGGGTACATACAACCAACTTGCAGCCAAAAAATGGTGATGGATTTCCGCCACAAACAAATTTTGCCTAAGTGCCACTTCGACATGGAATTCATGCTGGGTTAGACCATTCAAAAATGCCGTAAACCGGAGATCCCAGAAGGCTAACCTCAGCTCACATATCACAAGTATGTCTTTACCCCTACACAAAGTCCAGTGAGCCTACACGGCCAGATTTAGAAGAAAGCCATGTCAAGATGATATGCTTCGTGCGTGCCCCAAGCCATTAATCAGTCAACCCAGAGCGGATTTACTCAAACAAAGCTACTTGCCCAGTTGGAAGCAATGATCTCCATCACTTCACTTTTTCTTCATCTCCAAGTAGTTTGCTCAATTAAGTGTACTGTTGCATAAGGTCATCCATACCAAGTCACCCTGCCACACAAAGTTTGAGCAAAAGGATCATGTGCTCCTAGCTTTCCAAGCCAGGAGGAGTAAATGTGGTGGTCTGTCACTCCATCAGTACAAGGAATGTTAGACTTTGACCAATCATTGTAATTCTCTCTTCCCCATTGCTCCAGCTGAATTGTGCTTCTTCTGAACGCCATATTGCCAGGCATCTCGAGATTTATCGCCAGATTGATCAAAATCATCCAAAGAGTTCTCAATTGGCAACTTTAAAGACCGGTAACTTCCATTCCTTAAAATTGATGATGTATTCGACTTCTCATCATCTTCTGATGGTGTACCAGACCTGGACTCCATGTGCACATCATAGGGCCTATGTCTAAGCCCAGTTCTCATGCCCCTGTTGCTAGGGTTCTTAGCCTGATATGAGGGATACGGAGACGACTTTGGTAACACAAAATCCTTAGGCAAAGAATCCATATCCATGTAACAGTTCCTAGCTTTAGCATCCTTTATCAGAGCAGCCCAATCATCTGACTTCACCAGTGCATTTGCATTCCCCATGACCTGCAAATAAAATTCAGTCACCACAAGAAAAAGCAGTGAGGCACAAGTTCCTCTATGCGACAAAGCATGTTGTTAGATTAATAAAATAACACCAGAAGGGACAGAAAAGGCCAAAAGTTCCATACCCAGAGAGCTCTTCTAGCACGAGTAAGAGCAACATTCATTCGACGAATATCTGCAACAAAACCTACACCATGGTTTGACGCACGTACACATGACATTATAATGACATCCCGTTCCTGACCTTGGAAAGCATCCACAGTATTTATATAGATGTCTTTCCCTTCTTCTGAATTTAGGATATCCTCAAACTCCCGTTGAAGGCATTTTAGCTGCAATTTGTATGGGGTAATGATACCCACTGTTACTTTTGCCACACCCAATGATTTAGCTGTTTTCTGGAGATGCTCATACAATCGATGACAGAACTGGGCTTCCTCCCTATTCTGATAAGAGACAGATCCACCTCGATGCGATTCCCTACCATGAGTGATGTCATAAAATAAATAGGGCCTCAGTAATGGATCCTTGTAATAAGACTCGTCAGGTAAACTAACAACACTTTCACTATCTGTCAGCCGCCCTTGGTAGAAGTACCTAGAAGGAAAATCCCTGATTTGAGGATGCATCCTGTATTGAACTGATAACAACATTGTTGGGCAACCAGCTTGTTGAAACCTCTCAAAGAGACTTCTGCTATACAACAATGTTCCAGCTGCCTTGCTGATTACTGTCGCTGGAAGCTGCTGTGGATCCCCAACCAGGACACAGCGTGCTGCACCTAGAGCAAGTGGAGGAAGTACTCCTACTTCACTAGCTTGTGCTGCTTCGTCAATCACAACCATATCAAAACCGTGAGTAAGACGAGAAAATAGCTTTCGCCCACTGCTTGAAACAGTAGTGAAAACAATTTCAGCTTCATTTGCAAAACTTGCCTCCAGATTAGCACGAGCTTCCTCTAAATTAAAATTGCTAGTAGCACGGAATTTGCCTTCCAATATAAGAAGGCGGGACATCTCAACCAAAGTTTTATCTCGACTCTCAACCACTGCTGCAAGACTTTGCAGCAAAGTATCGCGATTTTGATCTCTAGCCATTAGAACATCAGGATCAACACCCACAGATCCTTGCGCACGACCAGCTGCAGCAGCAACAGTCAGATCTCTTTGAAGGGCAGCTATCTGTTGTGATAATTGAGCCTCACGAGTTCTCAATTGATGCATCCAACCATAGATTTCATCACGACTCTTATTCAAAAGCTGATCAGTTCTCCGCTCAACAGAAACAGCTTGGGCAGCACGCGTTTGCGTATCTACCCCAACTCGGGCAACATCAGGACGATAAACTTTCATCTCACCATCAATAAACCCTCGATCAAGAACCCTAGCAAGTAATTCATCTGTTGCAGCATTTGAAGGAGCACAGACAAGCATTCTAGGTTTTGGGCAAAGTTTTGGAAGAGTGCGAAAAAGATTCTGATCCATGCTCTGAAGAACTTCATCAATGGATCCAGTAGCAACAGATTCCAAGTTGCTCTCATTAGCCTGCTTATAGCTTTCAGGTGCCAGTTTCTTCAGCAACGCAGTGTAATAGTGCTGATACTGAACTAGATGGATGACGTTTAACATTCCCCAGACAGTATGGGTCTTACCTGTACCAGGAGGACCTTGTACTAGAGTAAATGGCCATGGATCTTGCCTCTTTGCCATCCCATTACTAGTACCTGCAGCTGTATGCATAGCAGCCCACTGAATTGCAGCTAGCTGCGGCCCGTTAAAGGTTCTATGAAGGTAGTCCACAAAATTTGGAGTGAAGCATTCTGGCATTGCAGGCGGCTGCTCTTCATACTTCGGGAAGTGATCAGGACTAGGCTGAAGAATTGCATTTTGCATCTATAAGACGACAGATAATTAGTATTTGGTTATTTCCACAAGAATTTGCATCTGAGAATGCCCAACTTTGAATTATAGCTATTACCTGCAAATTAAGGCGGCGAAAAGCATGCAAGGCAATGTATTCCCTCTGGGTGGTTGCAAGAGAGCCAAGGACAGTCAGATACCAGATGCCCCTTGGCTGAAGTTTACTTAAAATGTGATCATCATCAGCCTTGCTGAAACAAGTCATGAAGAAATAATTCTCAATCAGTTACCCATTAATATTGGAAGGAAAACATCATTAGCAATAAATGCGCCTGAGAGAAGCAGCCAATGAGAAAATGAGAAACTTGTAAAACTGACCTGTTAGAATCATATGAATCACCAACATAAAAATGCAGAATAGCCCCATGACTGTCACGCGTATCAATAGGAATGTGCCTTCTGACCGTCCCAGCAACACGTCCACTGATCTCAGCCTCCTCATCATCTTCTATAACAGAATTGCTACTCCTCTTTAATCTCACTGCATTATAACATGAAAACTTTGAGTAACTAATTTGAAGCTTTAGAAATATGATAATCAATGCTGGAACTGGTACAAAACCTGATCCAGGCTTAGGTGAGGAAAGAACAGCAACATCACCCTCCTTAAAGGTCCATTTATGCTCAGTAAATGGAATTAACATTGCATCATACCACCCTAACAAAAGAAGGAAAAGTAAGTAGCCATCCATAAGACAACCCCCAACCCCCGCCCCCCCCCCCCCCCACCAAAAAAAAAAAAGGAAAGAAAGGAAAAGAAACCATCCATGAAACAGAAAGCAACAGAATCCTTAGAAATTATACAGCGAATACAAACTCATTCATTAAAAGCAAAGCACAATTTCTGCTAAGTTCCAGCAACAAGAAGCATCTAAAAGGGCAAACAAACAATCCTAAGGGACATATCACAACTATTGGTGTAATACTTAACAAAAAATTTCTGGCGTAATTACTTTTACTGAAAGAAATTCCCAAACGTGTAAATCAGCTTCCAGACTTGTTAAAGTGCCCCCATTCCCCAACATACATGTGCACACAGATACATTTTTCCACCTTTTCAAGCATCAATAAAGGACAAGAAAAATGTAGTTATTCTCCTAGCAATCAATTCATGAGTTTACAGACACTCCATATTAAGTGCAACCCTAAAAGGCATCTGGTGTACTCAAGAAATTACTGATCACCAAAAGAGCTGTTACCCTTAATCAGCAGTACCAAGATGGACTGCTAAAGAGGGCAAAACACATCGTGGGCTGGCCTGAACCACCACATATGCCAACTCCATCCGAAATGTTAAGAATCACTACTAACTGGTCATGTTAGAACAAAATCACATACAAACTAAAATATACCTCTTTCACGTCTTTCAATGTTTTTCACATGAACCTTCACATGCACAGAAAACGTCTCAGTCAATTCCTCCCAAGTACTATACAGCTGCGCCCGGCATTCCTCAAAAAGCAAAGGTTCAAATACTCTAACATACTCTTCAACAGATTCAAAATGACCCGGTACACATTGAAGCTCCGTTTCCTCTGAAAAGTAAAAAACAATACAGCTCACGACCACAAACCACAAAAACATGGCAACAGAATAGCATTAACAAGGAAAAAATTCAAAAGGTAAAACAGCAAGGCAATGGAAGCAACCAAGAATGTCATCACATTAAAATGCAACAACAGAAAACTAATTTATGCCCTTAGGAGTAGCAAGATAACTAGTAAGCACAATGATGGTTTATTAGATGCAGTACACAATTCACTCCTTTAACTTCTTTAGATAGCAAGAAAAGCTTAGAACCTGTGAGCTACTCAGTTTTCACAATGCATCCAGGTTTCAATGATTGAAAACTTAATAACACAAAATGTAGCATTATCCAATCTTAGTGGGTTAGCAACTACAAAAAAATAAGGATTAAAGCTCAATTCAGGATGACTGCAATAGTCTTCATCCCACAAGCTTTTTAGTCGGTTGAAATGCCCACCATATGAAGCTGTAGGATCCCCTCTGATATGCAATGGCCTGAGTAATACAAAGATTACCATTTACTCAATAAGCATATATGATGAATACTGCCTCACCCACAACACCGAACCATGAAATACGTAATACTAATTGCAAATTAAAGCCAGTAAAGAACTGAGGCAAACAAAAAGCAAAATAATAATAATATTATTAATAAAGATCGTCAACCAATATTTGAACCTTAAATGAGGTGGAACCATTCTACAAGCAGTTCAATGGTCCACAGAAAGAAATAGAATTGTTAAAGAAAACAGAAAAGCACTTAGATTAAATGGTCCTGTCAGCTGGAGACGAAAAAAAGACTTTCATCCTCTCAGCTTCTTCTGAGAACCACTATACCTAAATCACACTAAGATTTCACTTGTCGAACAAGAAAATGGACAGTATATTCATAGTCAACTAATGTCCGGCATAAAATAAAGCTATTAAATTGCAGGTATTCAGAATTGCCAGCAATCTATTATATCATCAAACACTATAGGCCCATAGATTTGATTATTCCAAATGTATGTTAGATGCAGAATAAGATTTTTTGGATTAAAGAGCTTTCAGGATCTTGGAACTTATTGTTTCCAATCTGTCACATTCACACCCCCAAACAAAAGGATGTGCTGTCTATCTCTTCTCATTTAAAAATGACAACAAAGACATGACACTATGTAATTGAGATCGACGACAACTTGATGCCCAGTCCATTTACAACAATTCTTCAAGTTCTAACTGAAGCGCATCATAAAAAATAAAAACCACAGAATCACAATGATCATGCAAGGAGAGTATGCTTTAAGTTCACATCAACTATCAACAAAAGCTTGAGAACTATCACAGTACATAGATTCACACAATAGAAGAATTCACAAACCCCTAAACAAACTAGATAGAGCTGTCAGAAATTTGTATACCAAAGATTAGTGTTCATTACCTGGATCATGCCAAAACTTCTCATTTGTCACCTCTCGCAGAAGCCGTTCCACTGATGTATCCTGATACATGGTGCTCACAGCAACCTGTTTCTTTGAAGGAAGTTTTTTCACTCCTGACTTTAAGTCTGCAGTTGCTGAACTGCCTGTGGCTGGTCTCCTGACAGGGAGAGGTGAATTTTTGACTGGCCTTGAATCTATGGGTTGTTTCCATGAACTTTGCCTAGATATAGATGTTGATTGAGCCTCAGCCATGAGATCTGTCGAACTAGTTGGTCTCCTAGGCCGAGACAAAAGCCCAGAATGCACCTCACCATTGCAATCTCTAGAATCTTGTGATTCAACATAACCATTTCCCTCATTATTTGATAAATCAAGTTGTGTGCTTTCCTTGCTAGTTGACTGAATCTGCTTATCTGCCATGCGGTCAGTAGGTGGAGCACGCCCTACCGTACGAGTTGTAATAGGGGCGGGGAAATTCTGTCTTCTTGGTGTTGAACTCTTCAGAGCACCAGCTTGCTTTACATCTTCTAAATTCAAAAACATGGTCTGCCTACTTCGCTTTTTCCCTAGCATTGCTTCCTTCTGTTGGTCAAGCCTAGGACGCTTTCCAGGATTATTTGCACACTTCTGCGCATAACTTGCTTCAACTCCTTTGCTTTCTTTTTGCTTGGGAACCAACCCAGAATCTTCCTGAGCATTCATGGAGCTGCATTCTGAAGTACGACTACTACTGCTTCTCCTATCATTTGTATCTTGGTCCTGTCCTGAAAACCCAAGGTCCCCATTATCGTCCTTCACATCCCCAGCATTCCGAGCAACACTCTCGGAAGCCATAACCTGATCAATATTATGGTTCCTCATCTCATCTGCCCCTTTCTCCTGCAAAACTCTGTTGCCAGTTGTAGACTCTTCATGTGTATTAGGAATTCTGTATGCATCCCCAGAGCCCTCTGCATCAGACCATTCCCCTTCTTCCTTCTCAACAGCCTCCGGATCTGCAAAACTCAAATCTAGCTGCTGGCCAGCCTTCTCCTTCTCAACTCTGCTTGATTTGGAAGATGCAGCATCAACAGTTGAGTTACCTGAAGTCTTATTCCTAGCAGGATGTTCAGAACCCAGACCCCTTCTCGGCCGAACAAAAGGCTGAAAACCTGAGACAGAAGATGCGTGGGAAAAAGCATGGTTATTTACTATCCCTTGAGGACCAGCGGATGAGGCAAATAATTCGGAGGTGTGAGAACTTGAAGGAACGGCCTTCTGTGGCTGGAAACAAAAACCATCATTGTCCTCATCTTCTTCAGCTGGAGGCTCGTTAAGATCAAAAGGTAGCTTTCCCTTGGAGCCCATCTCATATGCAATTGCATACAAAGTAAGCTGGATAACCGAGTATTTCTAACTCCCACTTGCTGTCTATTCTCTCTAAGACAAATGCACATACCAAACCAAACCACAGATCCAATAAGCAAAAATTTGGGCCTCTGGTTTGTCAAATCAGACACCACAAACAAGAGGTTTTCTGCATTCAAGATTAGAAAGATAATGTTTAAGCGCTTGTCACAGATCACAGAAGAAAACATTATCATGAGAATTCAAACTAAACAAAACAAAGCAAAGCAAATGAAGAAATAAACCGCAAGATCAAATGATTGATTAAAATATTGAATTTAGGTAGAAATCAATAACACTAGTCCACATCCAAAATAATAAGTAATTACATCGAAATGTTGTGACTATCATGTTCACCTAGACAACTAAGTATAACAAAAAATTCTGTACTTATGAAGCAGCCCATCAATAAACTGCTTTAAAAAAAATTTAAACAACATAAAAATGCCAACAACCAATTCCTCTTCACCCCACCTTCCCCCCCCCCCCCCCCCAAAAAACAACAAAAAACTTTAAAAAAAAAAAAGAAGAAGCAAATCTCAAAACCCATAATTACTATTCATTGGTTGGAATAAGAGCTCACGAAGCAATGCTCGTTCTCAATAGAGCAGGCCCGAATTCAGATTTGCAAATGCGAATTCAAACCAAAAACTACACAAATTAAACAAGCCAAAACAAGAAAGTTGAACACAATGTTTGGATCTATATTAGGGCATTAGAAGTAAAATAAAGAAATGCAACACAATCATAATTTGTTAATATTGCCAAAATCATCTTGATTAGACTCATAACAAACAATTGAGATGATTAGAACCCATTAAGGATCTAATCACTCACTGATACCCCACGTCTAATCCATCTTCCAGAACTTCAGTTATTCTTCAGTTTCCTCACCCCAAAATTCACGAGTCCATTTCACGTTAAATTTGTCACTAGAAAAACAACATCCACTGGTTCCAAAGTCCACCGCTCACTAACCCTAACCCTTACGCAACAAAAAACAGAGTCCACTTCAGCTCAACATAAATCTTACACAAAAATCAGTCCAAAACTAAAAACTAATTTTAATCTCCCTATGTTATCACCAATCTTTTCCATCCAACATATATTGCAATTTAAAACAAAAAGTCAATACCTAGCATTAAACATAAAAAATTCGGATAAAAAAAATCTCATCAAAATTACACAAATATTACTGTATCAAGAAAAATCAAGAAATCAATCTTGAATCCAGGTCAGATCGAATATGAGATAGCCGAATTTGCATAGTCAAACGCATTTACGAATTAATATTTTCACTTATTGGATCTAAATTATTTTTTGTCAACCTATTATTAAGATTATCATTTTGTATATGCTTTTAGGACAAAATGAGGAAAATTAGAGCAGTAGAGAGAGAAAATAAAAATACCTTAAAGTGCACCAAATCTAAAGGAAGAGAAAGCGATATAATAATTAATTAATAATGAATAAAAAATCGAAATTATTTCACTGTGTAGAGACACATTGACGTGTATGTATCGATAGAAAGTTGTCTAGAGAGAGAGAGTAGCCACAAGGAAGAGAGAGCGAGGATGCAGATAAAAGTGCGAAGAGAGGAGGGGTATTTATAGGAAATTTCGAGGGATTCTCGCCGGTCGGCGAAATATTTTCCATCACCGTTAACTTACTTGCCGGTCAGAGGAGTATTGGCTTAAATTCGGTTTTTTTTGGGATCGAGACAAAACAGGGTTACGAAAAGGCCCTTTGTTGGAGGTTTATTTACGCGGTTTTGGATTATGATTTTGGATAAGGTGAAGGTTTGTTTTGGGATTTAGATTGGGCCTGGTCCGTGCGAATCGGTGTGTGGTGGGGGGATCTGCTGTAGTGCTAGTGTACGGGAGGTTGTGTCTAGAAAGCGACAGCGGCCGTAGATCGCATTACTTGGTATCTTTGGCGAGCAGCTCAGTTGCACGTCTTCTTCCCCTTTTAATTTTTGGCTTATATCGGACAAAGTTTTTGACCAATGATGTAGCAGTAGCACTAGATGAAAACTTGAATTTCCGGTGGCTCGTGGGCTGATTCACTATTTTCCTTAATTAGAAAAACGGTTGAAAATAAGTTTATCGCTTGATCTTGCCACTTGGGCATTCCATAATAATTTTACGGTGTCTTTTTCATTATTTAAAGATAATAATAGAGCAGTTGAGTATGGAAATTGGAAATTAAAAAATATACATATGCTACAACTTTTTTATGTAAGATTTGATTAATCAAATCTATATTCTTTAGTAACAATAGAGTATCATCAAGGTTCTGCTTTATTAGTAGATTTTTTGTTCTATGAATTTGGCTTTGAAATTTCGTCGAGTTAACTTAATTTGTCTCAAAAGTGTACTATTTACAAATTTTTAAAATAAAAATAAGCCATCGGCAATTGTTATTATCCAAGCAACAATGACAAGTTTACATGCTAAATGCTATTTAATGTCTTCCTTTTTAAGTTCCCAAATATAAATAGCGATTTTCTAAATTTTATCTCTTAAGATTTTTTTTCTTCTTCAAGTTACACCATACACTCACAGGCACCTTTTCCCTTTTTTTTTTTTTTGTGGAATGCAAATAAGTATGGTAAGATCTTGCATTGATAAGGACAACAAGAAAAATTAACCTCCTTTATAAACTTTGTCATTATTTTAATCATTCACAAAAAAATAATTTGTGTATATTATGACAATGAAAAAGGCAACAATATGATATTTTTTCCTTTATCCACTTAACATACAGGTCACATTTGAAGTAAATAAATATGTGACATGGACTTTAAATTTCTAATTCGAAAACCCTTTTCTCTCTTCAATAATTTGTTCAAAATTCAGTACTATTCATCTTGGTGTAGTTTTTATGCAAATTAACCCTTCCATTGAGTTTAATTTAAAAAAACATGTTTCTAATGCATCTCTATTACACCTTTTAGAAGATTTCTTTACGAATAAATTTTATTTTCTATTTGTGAAGTTCCTTTTTCTTATTTGTATTGAAAAGCATCCGATTTTTTCTTTACTTCTTGTATGACACCTCAGCATTATTGGCAACTGTTGATTGGCCTGAATGACATGCAAGCGTCATATAGGGTGAACAGGTGATCATCCTCGTAGTGATCACGGGGACCAAAAGTAGGGGTGGCAAACGGGTCGGGTTCGGGTTGGCGGGTCGGGTTGAGGCCTAAGTATAACAAAGAACCTGCTGATCCGAACCCGACCCGCCAACCCGAAACGGGTCAGGGTACCTGACACGAAACCGAAAATTTCGAGTTGGCGGATTGGCGGGTCGACCCGAAATGACCCGAAACTTAATTTTAATTTATTAATTTATCACTGTAATTTCTAATAAAATCAATTTTTCACAAAATTAATTACATCATCAAGTAATAAAAATTTAAATAAATAATTTCAAACCAAATCTAAAATAAATTAAACACCATAAAAGTGTTTTATTCCAAACCAAATATAAAATAAATTAAAACAAGATAAAAGTAAAAAATAACATAATGTATTATTTGTCCAAATATAATAATTTTAACTTCACACAAGTTAAATAAATTCATTTAGGATTAAGTAATTAATGCCTTTGGAAAAAAAGAATGATTTAGTTTAGTTAGATAAAATAATTTTTATGTTTATTAAATTAGTTTTAATTCGTAAACGGGTCACATCGGGTCATATCAGGTCACCACGGGTTGACCCGAAATTGACCTGTTTTCTTTTCGGGTTCATCGGGTTCGACCCGATTCTGACCCGAACTCCCAAAACCTCAACCCAAACCCATTAATTTCGTGTTAGGTTCGTGTCGTGTTTTCGGGTCGTGTCAGGAATTGCCACCCCTAACCAAAAGCATTCCAGTTTTAGTAAGGGCAATTAAGTCTTTTGGCGGCATGGACAGCAAGTCGAGTCCACGTGCGCCAAAAGCGGATGGAATAAACAGGCCCTATAAGTCTATAGTTACAGCGGATGCAGCAGTAAATTGGAAAGTTACTTTGAATACATTCCAAATTAAAAGATTAGCAAAGTATACTAGTAGTGAAAATAATCGTAAATTTTATTCATTTTTATCCCATAATTTGATTGTGCTATTTTCTCAACGGAAAACAAACAACATATGACACACCCTTGAAAATTTTAGGGAGGGAGGTCAAGAAGCCTAGATCAACTAGCAAAGAATTTTTAATTAAGACGCCTTTTATCATTGGACAATGAAGAAATATATTTTTAAGTGATTGAGAAAGTTGAATTTGGTGATAAGGAGGATGAATTGTAAGCAAGGGGACGTGAATTTAAAAGCTCCTGCTTAAAAAAAAAAATTTCTGAGTGGTGTGTATTCTCATGGACAACAAAAATATATGATTAAATTTGAGCTTTTCCCTTTTTCTTTTTAGTTTTCGAGTGTAGCATTGATTGGGTTTTTTAACCCATAAAATTTGCATGCAAAAGCGACATGGAACTAATTTTTCTTTTCAACATACAAAATTTGTCTCTATAAAAAGTTTACGATGATATATTTTGTAAAAGAGATATCAACCTTTAAGAAAAATCCATATGTTTCACTATATATAAATTTGTACCATGTTTTTTAAAAATTTTTTAAAGCACAGGAGAAAGAAGCGAGATTAGAATTCAGAAACTCTAATTCATCTGATCTCAACCTAATTGTAACATATAGTACTACTACAATCTTCATAGAAGAAGAAGGAAATTCAATACCCCATATTCTTCACGTCATTCTTCCTCATCATCGGATGAGAACTGGTGACAGAAGTAATTAAAATAATGAACAACTAACCAAGGCATCCTATGAACATCTCATGTATGTTAACGTACTGTTGTTAGCGCTTACCATTTGGTACAATTTCCTTGCTAGACAGACTGCCTATGGACTCTGGCAGTTTTTCTCAGGAGCATCCAACCCAAGGGGGAAAAATACACAGCCGGGGTGCTGGTCGTCTAGCATTCAAAGGTGGTCAGCATTGCTAATTGCCCAGAATAAATGATTCCTTATTTTTCATTAATTGATCACAACGAGGTGAAGGGGCTTACAAAAACCAACATAGCATTTATCCTGAAATGAAGATTTGTTGAACATGATGAATTGTGGCTAAGGTATGTCTGTCTACGTCTGTGTCACTTAGTGAATGAAGTAATACTTTTTTTTTTTTAAGAAAAAAAATAAAAAGGGTAATTTCATTCCACTATTTGCATTATGGGCAATAACTACATTAAACATGAAACAAATCTATATAGATTTGAAAATCAAATGATACAATAGACCTAAAAAACTATATAAATTTGATCACAGTGTTGAAACTTCAAGGATGTCTTCCATCAAGCGAATGTCAAGTGAGTGTGTTTGGATAAGAGATTATATGGGATAATTTTTTTTTAAAAAATACCGTAACACTTTTTTGATGTGATGTATGTGAGATAAAAAGATGATTGAAAAACATGTTGATGATACAAGCAAGTCAATGTATGTGTAAATAATGTGTAAACCAAACACACTCACTGAAAGTCAACAAATTTGTGTCCATGTCTTTCAATAGTTAGATGGTCAGATCTATAAAATGAAGTAATACTTAATTTAACATTCAAAAAGAATCAATTTCACAATTTATACTACAGTTGAATACATCGTAGATCACCATTTCATTTGATTGGGGAAGAGAAGGTTTCTTATGTAAGTCAGAGACCAAACTACCACTGTAGTATGCAATTGGTACACTGAACGTTAATCACACATATTGGTACCCCTTATGCCACCACTACACTAACTTGGTTGGAAGAGTAGTTAAAATTTGACCTTGACCAATCTGGATGAAAAGCGATCTTGGAACTCTAGTACTATTTTTTTTCTTTAGTTTTTCTGTTTATCTCATCGTCAGCATTCTTGTTGTTGCAAAGATATATGGCAGATCTATAAAGCAGGTGATTTATGACAACACCAAAAAAAGGCCTTTTCCGATTAGTTCCATGGAAAGTTTCAGTCAAGCACTATGTGTTTGGTTTTTGCCATCTTTGAAAACATTCAATTAAAGGAAGGGCTAATTCATCAATGGCTGCGCCAATTGAGGCAATTTAGGACATAATAACATAGGTGCGTGCCTAAACTACCGTATTGGTAGGTGATAATTGATTACACATTGGTTGGTGGAGGTTTAATTTTAGGGAAAATGATCGGTTTTATCCTTTACATTTCACAAAAATATTCTTTTCGTCTCTCACTTTTAAAACGAAACAATTTCGTCATTGACATTTAAAAACTGAAGGTCTTACATCCCTGAACCTAAATTTCAATCTGAATCAAACCACCAATCAACCTGATTAGAAATTTTAGGGGTGTAATTAATCGATCACTTGGTTAATTCAACATGATATTCATGTAAAATTTAATGAACCCAAAAATAAAAAATGAAAATTATAACATAAAGAAAGATTAATCTTTCCTACATTATCATTATATACACTGACGGTTTTATGTATCGCCATATCATTTCAATTTAAATTAAAACACCAAATTTTATATTTATGATACACATCTAGATTCGCAAGCGGATATACTAACGGT